CCACCCCTCCACCCCCCCCACCCTACTTTACCCTCTTCCAACCCTTTCGGAGGACGACCCTACCCCTCTTCCTTCCCCTATAGAGTTATATGCTTTCATGTCATTTACTTTGATCCATTCTCTCTAAATGACCAAACCACCTCAACAACCCCTCTTCTGCCCTCTGGACTAATGCTTTTATTAACTCCACACCTTCTCTAATTTCCACACTCCGAATTTTCTGGCATAATATTTACACACACACATTTGCCTTAGACAGGCATCTTCCACTGCCTCCAACCGTCTCGTGCTGCATGCATTTACACAACCCAAGCTATCACATACCATATAAGAGTGTTGGTACCTACTATACTTTCATACATTCCCTTTTTGACCTCCAATAGATAACGTTTTTTGACTCCACATATACTCAATGCACACTCACTTTTTTCCTCATCAATACAATGATTAAACCTCATCCTTCCATAAATCCATCCGCCGACAAGTCAACTCAAGTATCCTGAAAACATTCACTTCTTCCATACTCCTCCCTCCCCAATTTGATATCATTTTTCTTTATCTAAATCATTTGATACCTCATCACTTTACCTTTTCTATGTTCACTTTCCAACTTTCTACCTTTCACACATTCTCCAAACTCATCCACTAACCTTGCAATTTTTCTTTAGAAATCTCCATAAGCACAGTATCATCAGCAAAAAAGTAAAACTGTTGTCACATTCCCATTTTAAATTTGATTCCCCATTCATTTAAAAATCCCACCCCCTCTCCCGAACGCCCTAGCATTTACTTCTTTACAACCCCATCTATAAATATATTAAAAAAAACCATGGTGACATAACAACATCCCTGTCATAAGACCTACTTTTACCGGGACAGTATTCTCCTCTCTTTATACCACACCCTACCTGAGCCTCACTATCCTCATAAAAGTCTATTACAGCATTTAATAACTTTACCTATTCCATATACTTGCAACATCTGCCACATTGCTCCTCTATCCACTCTAATCATATGCCTTTTTCTAAATCCATAATGCAATAAAAACTTCCCTACCTTTATCTAAATACTGCCGTTTCCACATATATGCTTCAATGTTAAACACTTTGATCTAACATCCTCTACCACTCTGAAAACCTCCTTGCTCGTCGCTCAATTCTACATTCTGTCTTACCCTTAATTCTTTCAATTATAACCCTTCCGTTTACTTTTCCTGTTACTCAGTAAATATTTCCTCTATAATTTTTTTACAATCTCTTGGTCCCTTTCCCTTTATATTAAGGACTATACATTGCTCTCCGCCAATTCCTAGGTACCTTCCCCTCCTTTCATACATTTATTCAACAAAGTACCTACCAATCCAACCTATATCCCCTGCTTTTAACATTTTTCTGTCATGTCCCATCAGTTCAGCTGCTTGACCCCCTTTCATTCTACGTAATGCATCACGTACCTACACCACCAACTTATACTTCTGCTTTCTTCAATCCTAAAAAAATGGTTTATTACTCCTGGCCTGTGCATGAAATTACCGCTCCCTTTCTTCCTTAACATTTAAAAGCTCCTCAAAATATTCGTAGCCATCTACCTAATACCTCCTCTCCCCATCTACTTAATCCCTACTCATGTTTTTAACTGACAAATCCATACTTTACCCTAGGCTTTCTTAACTTGTTTAACTCCCTCCTAAATTTTTTCTTATTTTCATTTAAATTTTCTTGACAGTGCCTCTCCCACTCTTTCTCTGCTCTCCTTTTGCACTCTCTCACACTCTCTTCACCTTTATTTACCTCTCCATTACTTGCTCTTCTTATAACACTTCTGCTTGAAAAACCTTCATAAGCTCCTTTTTCTCTTTTATCACACCCTTTACTTCATCCATTCACCAATCACTCCTCTTTCCTCCTACCCCCACCCTCCTATAACACAAACTTCTGCCCCACTCATTTAATACTGCCATTTTTAAAACTTTTCCAACCCTCTTCAACCCCCCCACTACTCATCTTTTGCACTAGCCCACCTTTCTGCCAATAAGTCGCTTATATCTCGCCCGAACTTCCTCCTCCCTTAGTTTATACTACTTTCACTCCCTCATACTTGTTGTTGCCACCTTCCTCTTTTCCCTTCTACCTCTTACTCTAACTGTTGCTACAACTAAATAATGATCCGATATGCAGTTGCCCCCTCTATAAACATGTACATTCCTGGAGCTACCCATCAATCCTTTTATTCCACCAATACATAATCTAACAAAAACTACTTTCATTTACGTTGCGACATCATACCTTGTATATTTATTTATCCTCATTTTCATAAAATATGTATGACTATTACCAAATTTCTTTCTACACATAGCTCAATTTAAAGGCTCCCCATTTACATTTACCCCTGGCACCCAAAATTACTACTACTCCCTCATAACATTTTTACCCACTTTAGCATTGAAAGATCACCCAACCACATTCTCTCACACTTGATCAAAACTCCCACGCATTCACTCAACATCTTCCAGCATCTCTCTATCTCCTCTCACTTCTTCTTCTCCAGGTGGAATTACACGCTTACTTAACCCACTTTTCACAATCCAATCTTTATTTTTACTCCACCATCAATCCTTGGATTTTATACATTGGTAGGTCCCTCTTTTCCTGCCAATAGCTTATCCTTCAACATTATGGCTACTCCTTCTTTAGCCTCTACTCTATTTGAATCCCCTGACCTATCCCATTTATTCCTCTCCATTGAAAACTCTCCCACCCCCTTCAGCTTTGTTTCACTTAAAGCCGGAATCCAGTTTCTTCTCATTTCATGAACATCCACAATCATCTCTTTCTTATCATTGCACAACATCCACGCTCATTCAGAACTTCCCACTTTGACATTTTCTTCTTCTTATTTTTTATAGTAATATTTCACAGGGAAAAAGGGGTGTACTAGCCCATTGTTTTCCCGGCTCATTTTAGTGACTTTTACAACACGCATGGCTTACGGAGGAAAGATTCTTATTCCACTTCCCCCATGGATATAAAAGGAAAAGTAATAAGACCAAGAACTATTAAGATAAAATCAAAGAAAACTCAGATGAGTGTGTATAAATAAACGTGTACATGTATGTGTAGTGTGACCTAAGTGTAAGTAGAAGTAGCAAGACGTACCTGTAATCTTGCATATTTATGAGACAGACAAAAGACACCAGCAATCCTACCATCATGTAAGACAATTACAGGCTTTCGTTTTACACTCACTTGGCAGGACGGTAGTACCTCCCTGGGTGGTTGCTGTCTACCAACCTACTACCTACTACATTAGTATTATACAATATTTGTGCATGTTATTGTAATAAACAACAGTGGTAAACAATAATATGATAATAACTTTAGTGCGGTTATTGTGTTCAATACAGTGAGTTTATATATATACATTATACGTATACAGTATTGGTCTCTCAGGCCCCAAATGTTAGTAGGAATAGAAAAAAATTGGAAAAGAAAAGAAAAAACAACTAAAACCACAAAATAATGTAATGCGCGTATGTGGAATTCGTCGATGTCGCCGCCACCACATCATTTTTGACAAACTTCTTGGCACTGTATCTCGGTAAGTACTGATCAGATTCTTTTTTTTTGTCTTATTACCTTCACAAAAATATGCTCTTTAATTCTGTAAGAAAAAATAATTTTTTTTTTTTTTTTTTTTTCAAAATTTCTTGGACACTGGAGCACCACTTCAGATTTTGGCCTTGGACCCTGAAAGGGTTAAATTAACCGCCCCAATCCCTAAAAACAAAAAAAAAAACTTATTTTTTTTTGGATAACTGAAAAACCCCAATCCAAAAGCACTAACAATAACAAACCGGGTTTGGAAAAAGGTTTGGGATCGAGGAGGGGTTTTGAATATTCCTCATGAAAAGTTGGTAAAACTTACTAAAAGGCTTCAAAAAAATATTGGGCAAAAACCTATACTCTGGTATGAATACATTTTAAACCATCAAAATATTTTTAAAAGAAACTGGGGTATAAAAGAAAGGGGACCCCCGGTTAACAAATTTTTTTTCACTCCAAAATATTTTCAGGTCCAGACTGACCGAATTTTTTAATTCCCTAAGGAATATTGTGAAGTAGATTAGCCCTTTTTCAGACCCCCAAACATACACGTACAAACCCCTTACATAAATACCCTTACATTTTTTGGCCCGCTTTGGGAGGTAATCGTTATCGGAGGTCCACTGTATATCCCTTTAAAATTTTCTTGCAAAACCAAACAAAATGTGGTGTCATAGGGCATGTATATACTGAAATTCCTTTAAGAGAATTTAAAAATCTTTTTTTTATTTTGGCAAAATCAAGATCTGAATGGGTATGGTTTACTTACTCTTGTGATGATGTGTTGATTAATTCCTCATGAAATTGATATATTTAAATAAATTAAAAAGAATAATATTGTTATTTAAACATATCAGTAAGATACACAATTTTTCAGATATTTTTTGCAATGATGTTTTGTTAGATAAAAACTTTAGGTATGCAATGCATTTTGGGTAGTTAAAACTAAAACTTTAAATTACATGATATTGATTATTTGAAGGTAGATTATGCAGATACTAAGGTTGACATCTGATTCACCTGAGGATAAGAATTCAGTACAGTGACTGGTCAGAGTAACAAAAATTTTTATTTATATAGTACATGTATATAAGAGCAATGTTCATATAAGAAGACAGTAACACAAAACAGTGTTGACAATTTGAGTTATAGCTTTTTGGGAGATAAAACAAGCTGAGTCAAGAAATGCACAAGTATGAAAACTGATTGGAATCTGGATAGGCAGGTTGCATCAGATACATTTGACATTTATATTCAATTTTCGAGAATTACATCAAAGTTCAGGAGTGCTTTTTGGCAATATTTTTGAAGCACTTGGCAGATAGGGAGCTTTTAGAATCTGGTAGAGAGTTCCATATTTTTGTTAAACATGTTTCAATGTCTCCCTTTTCTCTCTAGGTTCTTGCAAGACGGGTGTGTTCTAAAGGAATGAAGGAGGTTCTTGTAAGATGGTCGCCACCAGGAGTGTGAGTATTTTGTTTTGATGTATGCTGTGGTTTGGTCATTTAGAGAGAATGGATCAGAGTAGAATGACATGGAAAGCCATATAAATCGATAGGGGAAGGAAGGAGGGGTAGGGGTCGTCCTCGAAAGGGTTGGAAAGAGGGGGTAAAGGAGGTTTTGTGGGCAAGGGGCTTGGACTTCCAGCAAGCGTGCATGAGCGTGTTAGATAGGAGTGAATGGAGACGAATGATATTTGGGACCTGACGATCTGTTGGAGTGTGAGCAGGGTAATATTTAGTGAAGGGATTCAGGGAAACCGGTTATTTTCATATAGTCGGACTTGAGTCCTGGAAATTGGGAAGTCCAATGCCTGCACTTTAAAGGAGGGTTTGGGATATTGGCAGTTTGGAGGGATATGTTGTGTATCTTTATACGTATATGCTTCTAAGCTGTTGTATTCTGAGCACCTCTGCAAAAGCAGTGATAATGTGTGAGTGTGGTGAAAGTGTTGAATGATGATGAAAGTATTTTCTTTTTGGGGATTTTCTTTCTTTTTTGGGTCACCCTGCCTCGGTGGGAGACGGCCGACTTGTTGAAAAAAAAAAAAATGTATGCTGTATGTACTTTTAGACAAAACAGTTGATCTGGTGTTTTTGTCTTTTAACCCCTTTCACTGCCACAATGTTGCAATTGAAAAATAAATTATCTTAAAATGTTAGAGAATCTTTATCTAAATTTGATGTAAAACATAATGCGGGCGCACAGTCGGAAGTTAAAAGCACTTTACACAGCTGCAGTTTTGTCCACTTTGAGGTATATTTTAGCCTAATTCTAATGCTCAGACTGCCCCCATTCCTGTCTGTTTTGCTATTATTCCTTCTGTTTTATTATTTGAGTTCAAAAACTACCGATTCAGCAATCAGATTTATTTTATAAAGGGCCCAGAATTCAGTTAATTTAGCCAATTTTTTCACAGAATTCAGCAAATTTAAAAACAAAGAGTCCAAAATAAACACTGTAGGCATTCCAGCCACTCAAGCAACTTTTCCTCTCTTCATTAATCATGTCCCCAGACCATTCCTATATAACACCTGCCCTCCACTTTTAATCCATCATCACAAAAAATAAAAAATGAAGTTTAACTCTAGTTTACAGCTTAAAACATGAGCTCAATACCCCAAGACACTGTCCTGGTACCTCTGCTCTTTCTCATCTTCATAGCAGTCATAGATAAAAAAAACACCCTTTACAGTTATGTATCATTGTTTGCAGATGACACTAAAATATGCATGAAAATCAACTTGGTAGAAGATACTGAAAAATTGCAAAAAGAACTCAGATCGGACACTGTATTAAAAACTCAGGAAGATCATCAAATAGAATGAATGGAACATATGAAAGACCTGGGAGTAATTATGTCAGCTGACCTCTCCTTCAAAGAACACAATAAAGCAAATGTCACAACAGCTAGGAAGATGATGGGGCAGATAAGGGGAATTTTCAAAACAAGGGAAATTGTGTCAATGGTGACACTTTTAAAATCACTTTTGCTCTTTCAGTTGGAATATTGCACAATATTGACGGCCTCCATTCAGAGCATAATTGAAGCAGACATAGTAAAAATCCATAAAACAGACTTGTGGTGGGTTGGTGATGGGGCTTCTAGCCTCCCTCAGCAAAATTGCCAAAAATAGTCTTTCTGCCACTTTAAGGCCTATTTCAGGCCTCTTTCAGTCTGAAACCAGAAATATATATTCTGGTTTATCAAAATCACACTAAGAAACAGTTAATAAAATCATGACAACCACCCCAGAAAATGCCTCAAAGTCACTATTTTAACCTAAGCACAAGGTCAGGGTTAATTGTTCCCATCATGTACTGCATCAGGCAGCAGTTTTTTTTTTTATACTGTCATATCCATTGCACAGACCTAATTCTTCATATCTAGGCCAGAGTTACGGTTCACGGCATATTTGAGGGCACTGTGACTAATGTGTATGTAAAACATAAGTCCCCCTGACCTCAATAACAAATACGTATGTATCTACTTGGGAAAAATGCAAGGGTTAATAAAAACAATTGTGCCATATATTTTATTATTTTTTTAGGGTTTATAGGCTGCTCTTCCCCCCTATTTAGATAGTAGTGGATTAGAATTAATGTACATTTCAACTGGGTAATCTGTATAAACTGGGGGCTACGACTATATACGTATATATATATATACAGATACAGTGCCTCATTTTACTCCCATATTATTTTTTTTTTTAAAACATAGCCAATTTTTGAAGACAAGTAGACTTTAATACTATTTATTTTTTTTTTTTCAACACAAACCGGCCATATCCCACCAAGGGAGGGTGGCCCGAAAAGAAAAACAAAAGTTTCTCTTTTTTTAAAATTTTGAAATTTATACAGGAGAAGGTTTACTAGGCCTTGCTCCCGGTATTTTAGTCGCCTCTTACAACACTCATGGCTTACAGAGGAAGAATTCTGTTCCACTTTTCCATGGAGATAAGAGGAAATAAACAAGAACAAGAACTAGTAAGAAAATAGAAGAAAACCCAGAGGGGGGTTGTATATATAATGCTTGGGACATGTATGTGTAGTGTGACCTAAGTGTAAGTAAAGTACAAGACATACCTGAAATCTTGCATGTTTATGAGACAGAAAAAAGACACTAGCAATCCTAACCCTCATGTAAAACAATTACAGGTTTCCGTTTTACACTCACTTGGCAGGCGGTAGTACCCCCTGGGCAGTTGCTGTCTACCAACCTACTACCTACAATACTATTTATATACCATAATATTCCCCCCCCCCCAAAGTGTAGTAGACTCCCAAAAGAGGCACATTGCATAATGCATTCTCATTGTTGTGATTTCAAAAGTGAACAAAACAATTTATCTTTTCAAGTACTGTACTCTACGGTACTTCTAATAAGCATGGCCAATAAAGTAAAAAATATTTTTTATTTTTAAATTTCCTACCCTGTGGCAAGTACTGGGTCAACATCTCTTTTGGGCCCCCGAGTCATTTTCATATATATGTATAGTCTTATGCATAAAGCCTCTCCTATTCCCTCCCATATCTGTATGTTGTGCCACCTAATCCTCACAGCTCTATTACTTGATTAAACCATCTTGTTCCATACTAGCCAGCATTCTCTTTTGGATACATGTACTGTACTGTACTCTACCATCTCTTACCTCTCACCTCAGAATACAGTGGAACCTCTGTTTTTGTATGTTTTGGTTTTAGTAGGATTCGGTTTTCGGCAACTTTTTTCGTCGAAATTTTGTCCCAGTTTTCATATATCCGGTTGGTTTTCGTAGAGTTGACGATGGTCCGCCGTACCACATGCGTCCGCCTGCCCATGCCCACACAAAGCATCCCATGCATTCTGACTCAGTTTGGCTTTGTTTCTCATTGAGTATTACCCTGCTCGTTCGGATATTATTATAATCAAAAAGCAGCGATAAGCCACAAGGGCTATAAAGCGCTGCAGGGGTAGGGAAGGAAGCAAGGGTATTGGGCAGCAGAAGGGGGGAGGGATGATTAGTAGGTTACAGAAAACAGCAGGGCAGGGGATAGAGTGGGAGTAGAGGGTAGCAAGAGATTGAGGTAGAAATGGCTGAAGGTATCATCATCAGAGTTTGTGGATTAAGTCGTTGTCAAAAAGCAGTGAGAGAGTCCGGATGAAAGGCGAGTCCATCAGCGAGAAGGAAGGTAAAGAGAGAGCAGTGGAGCGAAGACGACATTTGGGGGTAAATTCTGCGTGCTCGTTGATAAAGTGGGCAGTCTAACAGAATGTGGCTGACTGATTTCTGGAACCTGACAATTCTCACAGAGAGAGCAGCGCGCCTCTCCAAGAGATATCCCTAGTAAGACGGTATGGCCAATGCGAAGGCGGGATGCGTTTGGATAACATTTCATAATACTCCATTGTTTTTTGTGCTTGTTTCTTGAGTGTGACTGCTAAATAAGCCACCATGTGTCCTTGAGAAGGATTTTGAAGGGCTGACCCTGACGACCCTACGCCTATTGTGGAATCTATTGTGTCTTTGGGGAAATTCATGGGGTTGGATGTGTGTGGCCAAGATGTGGAAGAGTTGGTGGATGATCGTAGGGAAGAGCTAACCACTGAAGAGCTGCAAGACCTTCAACTGGAATAGCAACACACCGCAACTGAGGAAATTGCTTCAGAGGCGGAGGAAGAAAGCGGAAAGAATGTGTCTTCTTCAGTGATTAAAGACGTGTGCAAAGTGGAATGAGTTGCAAAGTTTTGTGGAGAAATATCACCCTAACAAAGCTGTTGCAAGCCATGTCTGCAACATGTTCAATGACAATGCCTCATCCCATTTTAGGCAAACCTTAAAGAGATGCCAGAAACAGACCTCTCTGGAAAGATTTTATTTTTTTGTGCAACAGGGGTCCAGTGACTTTCAAGCTGGTCCTAGAGTCAGTAAAAGACAAAGAAGAGAAGTAACCCCAGACAGGGCCTTGATACCTGAAGTCTTTATGGAAGGGGACTCCACAAACTCTGATGATGATACCTTTTGCACTCCCCTCAGCCCTTTCTACCTCAATCTCTTGCTGCCCTCTACCCTTTCACCATCCACTGTCCCGCTGTTCTCCGTAACCTATTACTCATCCATCTACCTTTTGCCACCTGATACCCTCGCTTCCTTCCTGCCCTGCAGCGCTGTATAGCCCTTGTGGTTTAGCGCTTCTTTTTGATTAGAATAATAATATGGAAGGGGATTTCCCTTCCAAACAATAACCTTTCCTCCTCCCTCTCCCCTCCTCGCCGTCTACCATACGCCAACAAGAGTCTTCAGTAAAGGTAATGTTAAATGTTCATTTATCCATTTTATTAATCATTTATATTTATTTCTCATTGTTTTCTTTATGTAAAACTATAGTTATTGTCTATAAAATGTACTCTTTTGTTAATATTTTTGGGTATCTGGAACAAATTAATTGGAGTTGCATTATTTCTTTTGGGAAATATTGCTTCAGTGTTCGTACGATTCGGTTTTCGTCAGACTTTCTGGAACGAATTAATCACCAAAACCAAGGTTCCACTGTATAGACTTTTTTGTTTTATGCAACTTTGTTATTATGCCGTGTCTTATATCTGTCAGTAATTCATTCAGTGTTAAAGATTTTTGTTGCAGAATGTAGAATTAAGTGTTTTTGGTTTAGAAAACATCTAGAGGATAAGATGAGAGACACCTACTGTATAGTGAGGAGAAAGGGGTGGTAGTAAGGGAGGAAGATGTTATGGGTGTAGTTTTTATGTGCTGCTAGGTGAATAGTGGTACCAACTGTAAGGAAATTTACCTAGGGGCATATTGGTAAGTCTCCTTACATTAGCTATTCTGTTCATATAGCACTAAATAGGTACCTAGGAGTAAATGGTTGCATCCTGAGGTATAGGACTGGAGAATTAGAAAAATAAACCTTACTGCCAGACATTCTTGGGTTACCCAAGAGTTATTAACCCTCCAGAGTTTATATTCTGAAGTCTTAGCCTTCAAGAAGCTTTTGACAATTTAACATACATTCTTGGCACAGAAGGCAGGGAGATTTGGCAAGTGCAGGAAGTCAGTGACAGCTTACACTACATATGTAACTTATGCACTTCTCTGCTTTAGCACATCATGACACTAAATATGGAAATTCATGCTGTTTTATCATTAATGGTAACTATTTGGGAATCTAAGGAAATACAGTGGGTCACTTAATTGATTGTAAAAGTGGCTGGAATGTGTCCTCTAGTTATTGAATAGCCACATTAAGCACTCACTTTAGTACTGTAGTGAATTGTAATAACTTTTTTTTATAAAATTCTCACTTCATCATTGATTATCAGTACTGGCACATAAAATACCAAGTGTCCCTAGTAAACTGTAAATGCATTCCAGTTCCATGGCAGCTGTATTAAGCTAAAATCAGGTAATACACACTTAATTCCACATAAGAATCTTCAGTATGCTTTGTGAGCCTACTAATAACTTACAGCAAATGTATGTATGTTATATATTACTGTTAGAAATAGGACATCTCATAATAGTAAATTCACATCAAGATTATTATTATTATAATCAAAAAGAAGCGCTAAGCCACAAGGACTATATTCACATCAAGAGAATCCACATTGAGCTAGGAGAAACCTAGAAATTCATAATATATAATTTGACTACTAAAGAAAGTAATATAGTAAGGGTTACAATGGTACAAGCTTGTGCTTATACACTTGTCAGTGACTGGTTATTTCCTTGAAAGTTTTAAAGTGTAATATTTTCAGAAAAAAATGTGGTATGCATTCCTAAGACAGAGTGGAAAAGGTTTAAAAAAAAGTGTCAATTGCTGGTAATATATGGTATTATTGTATATAAATTTTTAAATTTTTTCCCACTGCTCTTTACCAGAGTTTCCCCTGTTTTGAACTGTCTCACACAGTTTGAGCATATTTAAATTTTCTTGCAGACTTGCTGATGAATGGGTTGAAATGGACCAACTTGAAGCAACACGGAGTGTGCCCCTAGAGCAGCTATCTCCAGAAGCCAAACAGGCCGTTACTCAGTTATGCTACCCAAGTTTAGCACGACCTCAAAAACACAGACGCAAACGCCCCTCATGTCCAAAATCTTTATCTTTAGATATATCTAAAGCAGTGTGATCTTAGGGAGAAAATAATTATTTTAAAGACAAAAGTTAGGTTTTGATCTCATTCCATTACGGAGTAACACAGTGTGTGTATGTGTGTGGTGTGAGCATTCCCCAGATGTGTTTGAGGGATGTTTTAGTGCCCACAGTTGGAGCTCAGAATGTTAAACTTGTGAATCCAAGTGAATGGACCAAATATTGGACCAAAAAAAATATATTCTGTGCAAACTATTAAAAAAGAAGCATGTATCTGTGTGTACAGTTGCCTATGTATATTTGTAAATAGTGTGAGAGTAGAACAACCAGCATAGTTTGTCCACTGCCAGGAGCTCTTATACTATTACTAAGTGTAAAAGGGTCAATTGAAGTGTGTTAGGGTAATATACATCATCCTTGTGAGCCAACATTGCTGCTCCCATAAAGATTTATGGCATCTTTACTCACTTCAAAATATTTTTTTTGTCAGATAAAACAAGTTTATATTAGATACCTGAATTGTAGAGGTTAGTAGTTATAGGGTCACAAAGACTTAATACTAACAATACAATGGCTGCCATTTATCTGTAAAGTGGGGTTGCAATGCTGATAGATGGCCACTTAAGAAAACCACCACTGCCAGACATCAGGAACATCTAAGCCAGACCAGACCACAAACAACAAAACGGGTGCCCATTATGTCTGATTGTTTATCACCGTATGTATGTAACACAGCCTTTTTGGTCATATCCTATATCCCTAATACTGCATAGCACATCTGGTTATGGCAGTTTGCACATAAGGTTTATGAGGATTGCCAATTTTTTTTTTCACATTGAGTTAACTGTTTGTGTGTGTGAATGTTGTTATTTTGTTATATGTAAGTCGTCAAAGCTTTGGTCAAGAGTGGGGTCTGGCTCAAGATAGTTCCTAGTATGCCAACACTGCCCATTAAGATAAGATTATTTTATTGTATTTTATATTGTCTTGATATTTTACTTTCATTTCCTGTCCTCATTTTTTATGTCTACATAGGGTTGTCGTGAACATTTTATGTTAAAATATTGCAGCATTATGTACCATGATATGGTAACTGCAGCTAGGTTCTTAGTGATCCCTATTTGTTTTCAGATTTGTTCCTTGCACTTTTTGTTAACATGTTTTCATTGTTTAATTTACATAATTGATATTAAATTTATTATTTTTATCATTTCTCTGTACTCGGTTTGAAGCCCCATTGCTTTAATTATTCTTGTACTTTACTGAGGGTCGGTGAATACTTCTTGCCTCCCATGCCCAACATTGGTGCCATATTTATAGAAAAAGTTAACCCCACCCATACCAGTAATACATTTTCCCTCCTCACCAACAGACGGATTTCAGAAACGCTCAATGTGATCTCTTTGTAGAATGCAGGACTTGTTACCCTGCAAAACGTGTGATTTGGTGGAAGGTAATTGCATGCATAGTGGCATGAGTTCATACCATATCAAGCATAAATTATCAATTTTTTTTTTTTTTTTTTTAATTACATGGCTTTGAAAAAGTCGGTTGTTTTAGTCCACTGGAAAATAAACTCTACATTTTTAACTGCAAACTTTGAAGTTAAATTTGGATGTATTATTAGTCAATATAAAGTGTTACAAGTCAGACTGGTCTAGGCATCAATTTTCTTCTACCAAGCCACAACAATCAAGGTTGGCGAGTTGGCCCTTTGCTGAGTCGCATGTCATACTAGTCACTCCGGGTTGTGTAGGGTTGTGAAAGCAGTACACAAACTTGATACATAAACTTGAGCTTAAAAAATGTATTTTGTACTCATGGATTATAATCAATGAACAGCTTTACTTGTGATTAGAAACTATAAAGGATCTCAGCAGTTGCTCCAGGCAGTGTAATTGAAGGAATCAAGGAATGTTCAATATATAGAAATTGTCATGTTAGTACATAGATTTGCACTCTCAGGTTTCTCATGTGATATGTATTACCTCAGCTGTTTGACATGATCTTTCACATAATAAATGGGCATTTAATATCAGCAGAATCAAACCACTGTATTACTTAAGGGCTAAGTAATGCTAGTGAATAGATTGCTGTATATATATCGACAGCATGTAACTTAGTTCATATGCACACACAATTTGAAAACTTGACTTAATTGAAAAGTCTCAGTAATATGAACTGTGTATATATATGCATGTTTATTGACACTGCTTTCCAACCCTGCATCCCATTACTACCCTGCTTCCTTCCTCCACCCCTGCCTTGGGACCCTGCACTTTCTCTGCCATTGTTTTGAAGCTGAATTGATAGAGCAAGTGAAGTACATCATATATTAGATTTCCTGTAGGAATTTTGACAAATATGAGGAATGTAAAAAAATATTTATTATTACTCATAGATAACTAGCTTGAGAGAAGTTATAAATGTCATATTTTAAAATTCTGAATTATACATACTCCATGTCATATTTCTGATGGCTCAAAAGTAGTTACCGTACTCATATTTTCATTATATTCACTGACATACATATACAAAGATGTTTAAGGATCTTTCTTAATTTAATGGTGCAATTTTTTAAGAAAAATCCTTAAAATAGTTTTAAAAGTTTTTTTTCCAGAAGTAGTACCACGAGTGGTGGAGTGTGTGTAGGTTAACCCTGGGTACTCCAGGTATAACCACAGTACAGTATTCCCATATGTTATCATGTTCTTTACTGAGTTAAGTAACCAGTGAATGGCTGTGACCTAAGCCATATGCAAAATATATATCCATTTCCCATTTTCATTTCAGTAATTTGTGACCTCGCCAATGAGGATTTGGTTAATGTATGTATTTATATATTTTTATCTTTTTGCCATTAGGCTGCATTTAGAAGACAGTTTTGTGAGCACTCTGTTATTCAAAGAATAATCAAGGCTTGGATTAAAGTATCATATACACTAATCAATTCAAAGTGAGGAACCATTTGGAGAGAAATATGATACCCAGATAAGAGAGAGATTTGTATATTTCCTCTTCAATCAGACCAGTTGCTGAAGAGGATCTGAGATGGATGCTGAAATGTGTAAATATCTCATAACTCTGTTTCATATTTCTGTTCAAGTGGTTTCTCAGAATAATTAACAATTTTGAAAGCACAATAGGGTTCAGTTTTTATGTAGCAAATATACAATTGCTGCTGCATAACTGTGTCCAGAACTAAAAATGACACTCAGATGTTAATGTTGGTACACTGCAACTATCGTTTGATCCGAGTCTTCTAAGTACATTCTTGTTTTGTCTTTTGTTAGCTGTTTATCATTTTTACAGCTACTGTTTGTTATTTTTTGTACTTTCCTACATTATATACTCATCCTAAGTGTCTGTAGCACAATGGGAAACAAGGCAGAGTAGGTGAAACTGTATTTATTTTTATGACTTTGAACATGTGTTGGATAATAATTAGTTGTTGTTGTAAGACAAAGAGATGACAAGAGAGCAATGGTCATTCAGTGGATATGATGATGTACATGACACAGCATTAGTCATTATGGTACATGAGGTTATGAAGTTGATTAGGTTGTCAATATAAGCAGTACTAAAAATGAGGATGTTAACAGATTTTTTTTTTTTCCAAGGCTTAGGTTCTTCAGTACTTAAATGAGAAATACCCAGAAACATTAGCATTAACTCAGTAGTAATATTCAGGAAAGGGATGGAGGTGAATATGGGACAGGGATTTGCCTTTTTTCTGTATGCATCTAAAATTGGTTTAACAAAATGTTTTGTATTAATGATTTTAGTTTAAAGTTTGCTATTTTTCAAATTTTTCATAAGCATTGTCCCATTATGTGCTCAATTTACTTATGATTCTCATAGTTACATTTTCATTGGCTATACTCTAATTTAAATGGCCAGGAATTTGTAACATGAAAACCATGACGTTTTTACCACTTCAAAGAATATTACGTAAGTTCACTAGATTATTACATAAATTCACTAGAATATTATGTGAGGTCACTAGAATATTATGTGAGTTTGCTGGAATATTGCATGAGATCACTTGAATATTATGCATGTTCACTCTAATATTATGTGAATTCACATGTTCAGTGGAATATTTAACACAGGTTCACGTGAGTTCATTGGAATATTATGTGACTTCACTGGAATATTACGTGAATTCACTCAGATTTTGTGTGTGTTCATTACAATAAGAAACCTTTGTCATGTAAATTGTATTGCTTTATTTATTTAAAAGTTTATTCTCTTTGCAGATATTAATGTTTTTATGGAAATCATTTACAGTTAAAGAATTTGATTTAATCTGGTGCTGAAAACTGCCATTTTGCAGTGCTGATGTACTATAATGAGAAGACACCTTGTACCTTCACCAGAAAAATATGTTTTAACTATAGTTTAAGTAGGTCAATCATTTATGCAGTTTTTTTTTTTTTTATGTTACTACATACTATATTAATTGAAATAGAAAAAAAGTTTGTTGGGAGAAAACCTGGAGGACTTGTATCACCTACCATCAACTAAAAGAAATTAATGAACTATTAATCTTCAAGTATAACCTGAATACCAGTTTTTGTTATTAGTTTAAAAAGATGATTCGTTTTCACCACAGATTATTTCAAATGGCCATTTTTTCTTTAATCCCCATAATTTTGCTACAATTAGAGCCTTGGCCACAGCATATCCAGTGCCTTTCCTCTGCAGTAAGGAACATATCACAGCTTCTTATGTTCAGTTAAATCTGTACTCATCACAGAGGGCTGGAAAAAGCATGATGCATATGTATTGTGGGTGCTGTTATAAAATGGAAGTTAAAAATGTTCAGTTTTGAGCCAGTTGGACTGTATAGCAAATGATACCCCTACATTAATTTAGGGTATTGCAATAATCTTAATTACATTGACTTTCTGTTGGTGATCAGTTACAGGTAAAGCTTCATTTATTTGTACATTTTTAATACCCATATCTCGGCACATCAGCGCCCAAGACTTGCTTACTACTGTAGGTGAATTGTGAGCACATATGTATCAAAAGTTTGATTGTATCATCACAGTATGTTATAGACTGGTGATAGTGTCTCAAGTATTGAATTTTACAAAGTGGAGATCTCACGCATTTAGATGTTTCAATTTTTTTTTTTTTTATGGTGGGAGAGAGAGGTTATGTCTTAGGTGTATTTTCCAGATACTTTTGTTGTTATAGTGATACTTGAAACTAGCACTGCCAGTAACAGTCAGGTTAATATTAATAATAAGGGTATGTCAGTAACAAGTGTGCCAGCTACAATTACTGCCTGCATTTGCAGATGATAATCATTTGTAAATGCTATTTCATTAAACTCACGGTGCTTGCTTGTGTGAGGAACTGAAAAGTCATTCCATTGTGGAGGCTACTTGGAGCTAACACATGATCGTAAGCCACAATTATAAACTTTGTTGAAGCTCAACACATCTAGTTAAAACACCAAATACACTTAACCATGTCAACACCTTAATGTGCAAGTTTGACTCCCTACCTGGGAAGTGTTGTTATGTTCTTGTTGTGAGAGAATTTTTACTGCCATGGTGCGCTGATGTTGCTCGTGATTTCGATGATCTCGTACACTGATGATTACTGTGAGGCTTGTTAAAGGTTAATCACTGCCAATGGTAGAAAGAAAATAGTGTACCACTGCCTTGCATACAAGTGAAATTAATGTTATATTATTTATTTAGCTGGACCATGATGTGATATAACGCATGTTCCATAACCATAGGGCCATGGAAGGTTTGAGCTCTTAATTTATTAAACATGTGTATATGTATGTGTGTGTGTGTATGTTCATTTGTGTGTAAGTGTAATGATATATATTTATAATTATATTATAAATACATACATACATACACAGGAGAGAAAGTAAGAATATTTAAGCAAGCATTATTTGGATAAAGGTAAGAAGTTGTTGTGTTTATGGATCTAAAAAGAAAGGCATATGATAGGTGATCCATGTGGCAGATGTATGGAATAGAAAGTAGGCTACTAAAAGCAGTTAAGAGCTTTATGCAGAGTGAGGCTCATTTTAGGGCGTGTAGTAGGGAGGAACGCACTATTTCCCACTTAAAATAGGACTTGGACGGAGAAACATGATGTCACCATGTTTTCTATTAATGGACCTGTATTTATAGGTGGAGTTGTGAAAGAAGTAAATGATAGGGTGTTGGGAAGCTCTTGGGATTGAAAGATGTTGATCTGATACAAAGTGAGAGTTATCCATTTGCTCTCTGTTAATGACAGTTTTGTTAGGGGATTCTGAAATCTAATTACAAACATTGGTGGATGAATTTNGGGGAAGGGGATGTAAAAGAAGAATTTAAAGGTGAACATAGAAAAAAAATGAGAACAGTATTAAAAAATCTAGGCAATATCAGATTGGAAGGAGGGGGATACAGAAGAAGTGGATGTATTTAGATATATGTGAGTGCATATGTCATCAGATGGGTCTGTGACAGCTGAAGCAAACCAGAGAATAGATGAGGGGAGGAAAAAGGTTGGTAATGTATTGAAGTATCTGTGGAAAGAAAAAAAAATGTGTATATATATATATTATATATATATATATATATATACACATACATACATACATACATACACATTTTTTCTAACACATCCGCCATCTCTCACCAAGGCAGGGTGACCATTCAACACTTTCACCATCATTCACACACTCGCTGTCTTTGCAGAGGTGCTCAGATATGACAGTTTAGCTGTCACTCCAAACAGTCAATATCCCAAACCCCTCCTTTAAAGTGAAGGCATTGTATTTCCCACCTCCAGGACTCAAGTAGTGTGTGTGTGTGTACTCACCTGTTTGTGGTTGCAGGGGTTGAGTCATAGCTCCTGGCCCCCACCTCTTCACTGTTTGCTACTAGCTCCTCTCTCCCCCTGCTCCATGAGCTTTATCAAACCTCGTCTTAAAACTATGTATGGTGTGTGTGTGTGTACTCACCTAGTTGTACGAGTACACACACACACACCATACATAGTTTTAAGACGAGGTTTGATAAAGCTCATGGAGCAGGGAGAGAGAGGAGCTAGTCGCACAGTGAAGAGGTGGGGCCAGGAGCTATGACTCGACCCCTGCATGTGTGTACATGCGTGCGTACACTTGAGTGCACAATACAATTGCAAACGGGCAATCTCAACAATGCAGAATAAGACACATGGGGAGGCATACCTCCTGATGATGCACAAAAAGTGCAAAAAAATCTTGAGCTGAAGATTTCCATCTCCCATGGCTTGTCCTACATTGTTAAGATCGCTTGTCTGCAATTGTATTTGCGTGTTAGAGAATGGAGAGGGGTGGTTTTTAGGACCTGACGAGCTGTTGGAATGTGAGCAAGGTAATATTTTTTGAAGGGATTCAAGGAAACTGGTTAGTTGGATTTGAGTCCTGGAGGTGGGAAGTACAATGCCTGCACTATAAAGGAGGGGGTTTGGGATATTGGCTGTTTGGAGTGACAACTAAACTGTTGTATCTAGGCACCTCTTCAGTGATTATGATGAGTGAATGATGGTGAGTGTGCTTTTTTTTTTTTTTTTGGGTCACCCTGCCTATGTGGGAGATGGCTGACATGTTAAAATAAATTATATATATATGTGTGTGTGTGTGTGTGTGTGTAATATATGCAATCGCAACTCAAGCAATACAAGATGCAAAACAGCCACAGGTTTAGTTGAATGATGGCTGTAGGCCTTTTGTGTTGCAATTGCATCATCAAGAGCATGCAGTTTTGCACAAATGAGTAGGAAGTCCAAGCAGATTAATTCAGGGAAACCTTTCTAACTTGATTGGGGTTAGGTAATGCCATGCAGACCAGTTGCATGAGGCAGATTAGTGTCAAGTGCCAGAAAGATGAAGACAGAGTATTAAAGCAATATAAGACAGCCACCCCACAAGCATTGATAATATAGTAATGAGATGGCGAACATAACATTAGTGAATTGACAGTTATAAAAAAAATTGGCCAGACTTCGATGTGATATATATGACTTCAAATTTTGAATATAGATATATCTGGTAACTGTCTTAGGCATATTCTGTAATGTTAAGAAAATGGGTCTACTGCTGCCTCACTAGAAACAAAATGGAGATATTTATAGTTTATCTGCCTCTCACAATGATCTCACAGACAATCATCTAACACAAGAAAGCAGGAAACCAGCCCTAATTCATCGGTGTGGAACTACGACACTTAGTTATTAATATAATAAAAAAAGAAGTGCTAAACCTACAAGGGTCATTACTTAAGACAATCCAGAGCATTCAGATAGGAATCCGGCTTCAAGTTATTCACGATGGCCTCAATTATAAACGAATAGTTTGCATAATCAAACTATTTTATATAATGATTATTTATCATATTTTATAATTGCAGATTCTAAAATATTTCCAACCATGAGGTATAAGGAACTAGGACTCTGGCTTCCTACCAATTTGCGTGATTGTTGCAAACTCAGGTGTGGTTGAATATTGTATTTGATTCCTAAGCTGTTTGTATTGAATATCAATGTTTAACATGTTAGCCTATCATCTAGAGGTTTGCTGGTCTGTCAGACATAAGATAAGTTGCAGGTATTACACTCAATCCTGTAAACACTGCCAACAGAATGTTAAGGGGTAATTCTTGATCAAAATACTTTTAACCATCTGTGAATTCTTAAAAACTACTTTTATGTTGAATCTTTTTAGGGCATTCGGCAAAACATAAATTCTCATTGTATTGAAAAACCAGCACATTCTTAATCTGGGTTGTTATCCTAGGTTCTCTTCAATAAATTTTCCTAGCTGCCAGCAAAGCTTACACATTTGGTAAGCTCTCAGAAACATTGTGAGAAAGACACTCCTTTTTACTCTTATTTCATGATTATAGTAGTGGATATATGGGCAAACGTTAGTGGCCGTCCTGTATACTGTAAACTTAAACATTCTATCAACCCGGTGGATCAGAACATCTAAAAATGGAAGTTTAAAGTACACTTCTTTCTCCAGATCCATATCATTCGGCCAAAGACACAAGATGTCATCCACATTTCTGAACCACTTAGCTTCATGGGGCAGGATATCTTTCAACAGCTTAGTCTAAAAACACTCATACCATGAATTTCCCATAGCCATTCCCTGCCTTGGAGCCAAATATTTCCCTTCAAACTCAAACTTGCAATCAACTACACACAACTTAATCAACTCGGTAATGTTCTTATCAAATGGCATGGGGAACTCATTTAATTTTTCTTCCTGATACCAGATTGGGAACAGAAATTCAGGTGAACAATGCTGTGACATTAAAGGTTAATAGTGTATTACAGTGGACCCTCGGTTTTCATGTTTAATCCATTCCAGAGCCATTGGCCAAAACCTAAAACATTTTTCCCATAAGAAATAATGTAAATGGAATAAATCCGTTCCAGACACCCAGAAGTATCAACAAAAAATTTTTTTTTATACCTTAGATAGATAGATTTACATGCACAAAAGAATGAACATTAGACATGAAACTTACCTTTATTGAAGGCTGTTGCTGATGGATGGAAAGACAGTGAGAGGGAAGGAAGAAGAGGTTATTGGTATTGGAAGGGGAATCCCTCCTCCTATGTGATTCTAGGTACCAAGTCTTTCAGGGGTCACTTCCCTTACTTAAATATAGATTTACATGCAGAAAAGTATGACAAATAAATATAAAGCACTAATAAAATGTATAAATGAACATTTAACATAACACTTACCTTTACTGAAAAGACTTGTTGGTGCATGGCAGACCGGTGGAGGGTAGAGGGAGCATTTATTGTTGGAGAATGACACTAATATCAACTCTACGGCGTATTTATGTATCACGATTCAACTAATATGACATAAACAATATTAATAATATAGAAACATGACATATACTCTAGAATGAATAAAATAAGTCATTATGTATGTAACGACAGGTGTTTTGTTGTTGTTGTTGGATATATAAGGGCCAGTGTGAGCATAAGCCGTACATAATGTTGGTGAAGGCTGCAGCTGAGGGGGCCGTGTTTTCTGTACCCTATATAACCCCAAACAACCATTTTGGAGAGATTAGTAAAATTGCTGATCACTGAAGAAGGTACCTTCTACCAGCATCACAACCACTGCCACCCTCCACCACCACTTTTCGTATTTTTCTACAAACTTTATCTTGAATTATGTCGTGTTTCTCACATTCTTTACCAAAGGGCTGGCACTAGAAGTTTTCTTTGGGCCCATGGTGGCTTATTTAGCAGTCACAAACAATAAACAGGTGGCAAAAACAATGGATTAATACGAAATGTTTTGTTTGCCCTGGCAGGATATGTTCACTCACCGAAAAAACAACACTAAAATTGGCTGAGAAGGTGTGGGAGGAGGCTTTGTCTGTGTGCGGGGTACAGGACAGGTTTCGTATGATTGGCGAAAATGGAGGCAATTGACAAAAACGGAATCAAAAAATTAACAAAAAAAGTTGGCCAAAACCGAAATCAGCAATAATGGAGATCGACGAAAACAGAGGGTCCACTGTATTATTATAAAAAGAAGTGCTAAACCTACACGGGTCGCCTTACTTGTGTAAAATCATTAGACATGTTAACATTTTGCAGTCAGTGAGGTCAGTGTTTTTTACTTGGGCTTCAGAGATGTTGCCACATACACTGTCCTTTGCAAATGTTGAATATTTACGGCAATAGGTCCCCTTGTTTTTCCAGATTGCAAAAAGGCTAAGCAAGGTCAACATGATTGTGCCCCCATCTGTATAATCTGAAGCTGGGGTTCCCAAAGAATGCTTTTTATTAAGATCATAGTTTCCCAAACCCAAAGGGTTAGGGGTTTTTTTTCCCGATTTTTTTTTTTGTTGGCCACATCTGCTCAAAAATTGGGGGGGACGATAAAAATAAAAATTATTAATTTTAATAAAAAAAAAGCGCTAAAACCCCCAGGGCTATACAGCACTGGGAGGGCGGAAAGGAAGCGGGGTACCGGTGGCAAAAGGGGGGGGATAATTTTAGGTATGGACAATAAACTTAAACGTCTTCCTGTGGAATCTAAGAGTCTCCCTTCTGTTACAATGAGTGGGCTGTAAGGAAATTTTTCCCAAACATTTCCGATATATCTTACGAATTTGAAGTCAAAAAATCGTATTTAAGCCCCCGAATTTTTTTTGGATATCACTATTGTAATGTTTTCTAGTCTTACTACATTACATGTTTTGGGCTGGCGTCTTTTACGCTTTAACCACCGCCTGAGTGCCCGACCCCTGATCTGGAAAATTTTCCACAGTGCCCAAAATTTTTCATTTTTTTTTTAAGGGAAGGGTAAGAATCTTTTCTAAATGTAAAAAAAAACAGAAAATTTGTGGAAAGATAAAATTATCTTCGTGAACTTGGTGTCCCAGGATTTGATGTTTTGGCAATTTTGCCCATTTGAGTCTTTTTTAGCCAATTACATTTTTTTTTTTTCAGTCGACCAAATTTTTTACTATTTTCCAATGTGTCTTCCTTTTAAATCATTGAACACAAACCCCCCAATCAACTATTTAACTACCCAAAATGTGATCAGAAATTGT